AATTAAGTTTACAGATTACAATAAGGTAATGCTACGTGACATCTTAACCTAAACCCTATAAAAAAGGCAGGGGAATCAACGTTTTAAGGTACGTAATAAACCCTAACTCAATTTCTCGATTTCTCCAGAGAGATTATCATTCACACTGACTTGTTCGTCGGAGCCTACTCCACCGGTAACACACCGGTGTTCGTAGGATCACTTTTTCTTCTCTTTATTCAGGAAGTCAGATCAGATCCAGGTTGCGCAGAATCCATCATCAACACAAAATGTCATTTTTGCATATCAAATCTATATTTTGAAAAGAGGTACAGTGTTAAAATGTTATATTTTACCAATTCTGTTATAATAGTGCATTTAATCCATAATGCTATTTTTTAACTCAACTATCATTATTTTTTAACTACTATTTCTTTTCAATAGCATTTTTTTTCAACCATATTGAATCATACGATGAACTCAGAAAACGAGGGTGTCAGCCCCACGACACTTCAAAAAATAAGGGTGAATGCTATTGAAATTTTTTTTTGATAAAGTTCAATATTAGTGATAAAATTAATATTAGTGATAAATTTAAATTACAAAACAATTTTTCGAAAATAAAAACTCGAAAAGCTATTTAGTTGTCTAAAAATAGTTTTATGAACTTAGAAAAAAAAAATTATAAATTTATTGTTGTAGCTACATTTCACAACATTGAATCTTGCACTGGTTTGTATGCTTATATATTTAAATCTTATGTGACTATTTCATTACTTAAAATAAAATAAAAAATATCACTAAGGAAAGTTTTTATTCAATAAACAAAGCTTTAAGAGAAAGATAGAAAAAAAAAAATTAAGTTCCATTTGTTCTGAAATCCCAATTTGAAGAACCAGCAATGTCTTCTGCAACTTGAGGATCACATATATTGGAGGAGAATAGAGAGTTGGTCATGAGCTATTTCTCTCTATATATAATTTATTTCATATATTTCTATATATATATATGTATATTGAAAAAAAAAATGACGATGTGATCATGAGACAATCTCATAAATTAATTACACACACACATATATATATGTAAAGAGAGATGTTGGATCTTAATGATAAATTAATTACACACACACACATATATATTTGTAAAGAGAGATGTTGGATCTTAATGTTGATATAGTCTCTGTTGATTCAACTTGCGATGAAAATGAGACGACTTACATTGTCCAGAAGCTTCCTGAAGGCGTCGGAGCTCAAGTGGACGATTCTGGTACTCCGAATTCCTCCGTCATCAACGCCGATGAAGCGTCTAACATTGTCGGAGACGAAGAACAAACTTGTCCAAAATTGCAATCACTGTTCTGCAATCAAACAATTTTAATCTCAAACTTGCCCTAAATTGCAATGACATTTTCTGAAATTCCCTAAATCCACCGAAAACACATAACATGGCAAAAACGAGAAGAATCCGGCCACAACCATGAAAAACCGAAGTCAGGCCAGCTTCGTAAGAGAAGGTAACTGAGGACATGAGAAGGAACGGTGACGTAGGATTGGAGGAGACGAAGATCTGATCTAATGGCCAGGAACCATCAAGATCGAGATCGAGGTCCATCAGTAACCCTCTTTTTGTCATCGATTTTCTTCCTCATGATTTTCCCGGAACTTTTCTCTCTCTATATTGCAATAGACAAGGAGAGAGAGAGAGAGAGATGTGAGTGGGTTATGATTTAAGATTGTGATTCCATAGATAAATAAGAGAAACGGCATCGTATTGGGAAATGAGAGACTTGCCAAAAAAAATTTGACAGCCTCTATATGTGAGAGGAGATTTGAGAACCTCAAAATTTGAGAGCCCAGATAAGCCCAGATGAGAGCCCATTGGAGAGGCTTTTTTTACCCAACTCTCATATTTTGAGTTTGAGAACCCAAATGAGAGAGCATTAGAGTTGCTCTTATATGGTAGTCTTCTCGGTTATAAGTATTACATATGTATCAAATAACATTAAAGAGTAGATGGCACAGTATATTACTTAATGAGACATTTTCATTAAGTTTGGTGTGGTGGAATAGAATAAAGATGGATGCTAATCACAGTCGCCCCCGCGACTGTAGAATCTCAGTCGCTAGTTTAACGGTTGTCGGGTGTATTTCCTTTCTCAATAATTTATTATTATTTTTCTGCTAACTTCCTTTTAATCTCTCATTATATATAATTACTATACTAGCCTCCTAACTAAAAAATCTGCGAAAAAAGTATTATAATTTGGTTCTCTCTCTAAAATTATCTAATTTTTTTAGATCCCTATTATCTGTTTCGAAGTATTCCGTTATTTTTCAAATAAAAATAAATAAAATCAGATGAAAAAAATGTATAATCTGGAAAAAAAAAAAAAAAAAATTATAGTACTTTTTTCCTTTTATTTTATGATATTTTTTATTTTTATTTTTTTAATCTGAAAAATCAGAGCAATATTTCGAATACAAAGAATACGGATTTGAAAAAATTCAGATTTGAATTTCAAACATTTAGATATGAACTTTTGTATAAAGAAAATTTTAGTGTTGGAACTTCAAACATTTAGATATGGAATTTTGTAAAAAATAAATTTTTAACGTGAGATGGAAACGTGGAGGTTTTCTCATTTTCTTTCTAAAGAGAGAATTTATGCAAAAAAAAAAAAAAAGTACTCTTTGCATTCGATCCGTATTCTTTATATTCGAAGTATTGCTTTAATTTTTCAGATTAAAAAAATAAAAAAAAAATTAGTGAATAAAGTACTATAATTTGGTTCTCTCTTTAAAATTATCTGATTTTTTTAGATCCCTATTCTTGTTTCGAAGTATTCTGTTGTTTTTCAAATTAGAAAAAATAAAATCAGATGAAAAAATAGTATAATCTGAATAAAATTTATAGTATTTTTTCTTTTTATTTTATGATAAATTTTTTTTTTTTTAATCTGAAAAATCAGAGCAATACAAAGAATACAGATCTAAAAAAATTCAAATTTGAACTTCAAACATTTAGATATGGACTTTTGTAAAAAAGAAAATTTTAGTGTTGGAATTTCAAACATTTAGATATGGAATTTTGTAAAAAGGAAAATTTTAAAGTGAGATGGAATCGTGAAGGTTTTTGAAGAGAAAATTTATGTGAATGGTTTCTCAGTTAGGAGGCTAACATAGTAATTATATATAATTAGAGGCCCAAAAAGTTTGGAGGCTAGTATAGTAATTATATATAATGAGAGACCCAAAAAGAAGTTAGCAGAAAAATAGTAATTAATTATTGGGAAAGGAAATACACGCGTCAACCGTTAAATTAGCTACTGAAATTCTACAGTCGCGAGGGCGACTGTGATTAGCATCCCTCTAGAATAAAAGAAAGTGGAATGGAATTATTTTTTTTTTTCATTCTCGTATTTAGTGCGCAAATTGGAATCAAATTGGAATCATCATTCCCTACTATTCTTCGAGAATGATCATTCCATCAAAATCATTCGAATGACCATCCATTCCCACTTTAAAAAAATAAGGACAAAAAAAAATTAAAAAATAAAGTTCAGTCCTCCGACAAATTACAAACCCACATCAATCCTGTAAACACACCCACATCAATCTTATAAACACACTGGCGACAAACAAGGAAGAAAGAAGCAAAGCCAGCCCTGACGAGCAAGAAGAGTTTGTTGAAAGTCGTCGTAGAACGTCGCCGGAGAAGATGATCGGAAAATTTGTCGGGCGAGTGAAATCTATGAGTATTTAAATGAGTTGATATGAACACTACACGATTATTATTTGTGTCAAGAAATCTTAACACGAACACGACATGATTATTAAACGGATAATACGACATAACACGCGTAACCCATTTAATAAATGGATTCAGACTAAACACGACGAAATTACACGAAATGACGCGAGAAGATACATTTAAGTCATTTTTAACACTAACACGACTCTTTTATCCAACACGTTCACCTAAATGGATCATTTTTAACATGAATACAACACGTTTATTTAAACATGTTAATTGGGTTATGAATAGGTTGGTGGGTCAAACATGAACACGACACGTTTAATTACCGTGTCAAAACGAGTTGATACGAACACGATTAAGCCAAACCCAAACTCGCTTATTCCGTGCCGTGTTCTTGTCGTGTTAACATGTCGTGTCAAATTTTGCCATTCCAAAGTAGAACAGACTTTCAATTCTTAGATGAACTGTATCCATTGTATCGAGCGTGGGTTCGAATCTCCTTCGCTGCGTAAGTCCGCGACTTAAATCTCACTTATGTCATAGGTATGATATGAGTGGGGTTCATCCAATTAGAAGATCCTTCAAATAAAATAATAACAATAAAAAAAGTTTCAAACCGTTCAAAATTACACATACCTTCAAAATGGGCAACTACAAGGTCACACAATCAATAAAAAGGGCTAATGAAGTAAATGTAATACTCTATGGTAAGATGGGGTGACTCAAGTCCCACTTTGAGGCCAACCTTCATGGGATTTTCCCAGGCTTACAGCCAACATACATCAATTGTATAAATAATCAATAGAATACAGAATGAACTGAGAAAAACCAAATGCTGCTAAATTTGAAGTGTAACAGATAACATATTCGGTTCAATTATACTCTACAAGAATAGTTTACATGTCTCTCCCCAATCCAACATCAAAAATCAATTGAATATGTTCTTCAACCTTAGAAGAATCCACACCTCTGACTGTGCAATGGAACCATCTGAGGAAAGAAACCATGTCTAAACCCGAGACTAGATAACAAAATTATCTTCATTTTTGTTCGGTCAGAGGGAAACGAGCAACTGCAACCAACGAAAAATTACAATTCTACAGGAGTTATGATGATTGCAGCCGCCAATAAATTGTGGGAAAGTTCCCATATTTTCCTCGGTTCAAACTAACCTAAATGATGGATTAGGCAGTCATGCATTTTGGAGAGGGACCTAGACTAGGGAGAGGCTTAAAAATGTTTTGGGAACATTTTCTACTTCCTCAACAACAAGTTTTTGGGCAACACGAGAAGCAAGAAAACCACTTTTTGGAAGCTGTCTTCGGATTTTCTTTGGAGTCTGGTGGCTGTGAATGCTGCTGCTTCTGCTTCTGGTCAGGTTCCCCATTAACAGCCGTACTTGTTCCCCCATCTGTCAAACTGAGATGAACCAAAAGAAATCACTTTGACGAAGAATTCAACTAAAAAAAATATATATGCATTCCTGTGTATTGAACATCTGAAAGGTATCACCTAAATTAGAACAGTTGCACAATGGTCTTGCAGACTTCCTTTTTATGCAAATATGCATACAAATTGATATACATGTATAAAATTGGAAAAATATATATATATATATTTCTATCTCCAGTTTACATCACATACTAAAACCCATAGATGAGACACATTCTGTGGAAGCTCCTACACACATACACAAGTCTGCAAACATGTATACAATCATGTTATGCATGTATATATGCACACATCTATCTTGACCATAAAAATGAACAAACATGATCAATTCCAATACACATGAAAGATTCAGTACCACAATCATGTGCATATGGTAAAACACATTAAATGAAACATTATTCTAATTTGTTGAAAGACAGAACACTTACATGGGAAAGGCAAAAGACTTGCTGCTAGTTCCACTCACATCCGACCGCCTGTTCATGCTCAAGGAGACCTCTAGAGAAGGCACCTTTCCCTTCTGTTGAGCATCGGCAGTGACTTTCGGAACATTTTTCACGGTTGCATCTTCTGCTCCTCCCGTTGCTTGGAGGTTGTTCTTTCTCGCATCCACACTCTTAGGTTCACTGTCCATTCCCGTTGGAGGTGGAGGGGGTGGTTTAAGACAGACCATCTCACCGGACATAGTCAGATCTCTGCAAATGAAGAATTCTCTGGATTCTTCAGGCTTGTAGAAGTCTCCACTCATCATTAGATTATGGTCTCTGGAGAAACTGTTGTTCCCCATATGAAGGCTGAACAATGACTCATTCGAAGCAACGCTCCATTCCATTGGCGCGGGGGATTTCGTAGCAAAGACAGATGAGGGGATCCTGTTGGGATCGTAACCTGCAGGTCTTTCCATCACTTGGACAGCAGGAGATTGTGTTGGCGGCGCCATGCTCTGCGAGGTAGATTCATTTGTGAGATTGGAAACGGGAGAGATGGTACTGTCTATACATCCAGTAGCAGATGAGCTAGATGCATCTGTTCCTGATTTCTTATTGTTTCCAATCCCATTTTCAGAGTCCATAACTGAAGTGAGAGATGGAAAATCACATTAAAATGCGACGAATATGCAATTTCCATTTAATTTCGTGTATGAAGAAAGAAAGATCCAATTAAATTCATATGGGTAAAAATATGTAGAAACCTTACATTCCATACATCAAGAACAGAAAAAATGTGCAGCTGCATTGCAATAATATCAAATACTCCCTCCATCCAAATTTTTGTAAGTCACAGTTCCCAATGACGACACTTAAATTGGGACGGAGGAAGTAGTATCACCATGGCAATCAATTACTTTGAAGTTAGCCCCAAGAGGTTTGGTGATGGTGGTAAGGTAAGGGGCCGGGTTTTGATATGTCCCGGTTTCGAACCTCAACACCTCCATTATAACCCCTGATTTAACTGTCGTTGTCGTTGTGGGGCTGGTTGCGGCACCCTCAGTTTATAGCTTGGGGTGGGTCCAAAGGGCCCTGCCCAAGGAAGTTTTAAGTTCCGAAAAAAAAAAAACTACTTTGAAGTTCATAGCACAAAACTATTCCAAGAACTAGACAAGTCTACAAGAATTTAAGATCTCTTCCACTCAACAAACTAATTTCTTCGGAACCAAAGAAACAAAACCTGATTTATGTCATCATTCAACAAGACTTTCTCATTACAGGCTGCAACATTTAGGGCAATGTGTTGTGCCATTTTTTTTCAGAATTCTTTTCCATGGCACAACTTATGCTTCTGATTTGTTAAAACCCAAAAATCTGATTCATACATTTAAGCAATCTAACATTATTAAAAAATTGAAAAATTAAGTTTCTCTAATTGAGGCCATAAAGGAACAATTATTTATGGTCAAAAAATTAAATTATGATAGAAAAACTTTTGCTTGGTTATATTCTTTTTCTACTGGATGCCGGGAATTCCTTGTACCGCGTTCCTAGTTATAGGGTATGTAGACTGTAAAGAATACTATTTGACTTTGTTTTATGGTATTTTTCTTCCCTTGAATCGATTCCTCGAAAAACAGGGGTCCTAGCAAAAATTTTAAATGGAGATGAGCAAGCATTATTAAGAATCTCACCTAATTCATAAAATTGTGTCCTGTAAATCCAGCCGACTAAGCTCCAGCTAGCCGGCCACTGCTCCGGCGAACAGAAGATACCCTTTGGCCTTGTTTCAATCTACAAAACACCAAAACGATGGGGGGGGGGGGGGGAGAAGAAACCTGACAGAAGAAAAGAAAATACAATGAATAAATTCAAATTGTACATATAAATAAAAACATTTGAATCTATTACAGAAAGGTCATTATTCTGTTAATCAAATGTACTAGGTATTTAACTATCCAAAAAATAAAAATAAAAAGTACTGAAAGGGATTAAAGGTCACAATTCTAGTTTTTAACGTTACAAAAATCAAAAGGCACCTATTTTGGATCTATTACATAATATATAATTTAAGAACTCGAAACAGAATGAGAGGAAAATCAAAATTAGGCATGTTGTGATACAAAACAACAACAAAAAATCATAATTGTTAGGATTAATTACCTTGATTAAAACTGCTGATTAGCGACTAAAATGAGGATGATCTTTCAATTCTTGAATATATTGTTTATATATATAAATATATATTTGTTGTAATTTGAAATGAAGGATTAAGCAATCCAGGTCCCGCCAAAGCGGGATGCTGGGAGGAGAAGATTAGAAATGTTTCTTCAATAATCAAAGTTATTTTTTCATTGCACCAATACGGAAATGGAGGGGATGTGATGAAACTTGATGGGGGTAGAGAGAGAAAGAGGAGAGAGAAAATGGAGTAGGGTTTTGGGAGATAGTATTATCTGTAGATTTGACTGACGGAAGGTATAGCGACGCTTTCGGGAGGGTTAGGGTTTCAATTCCCAAATATAACTAACCCAATCTCCTTTTCGCGCCAGTTCCCTCAACCACATCCTCACGCACCATGCACGTGCTTCATTGGCTATATGTAGGGCGCCACGTCACTAACTTTTGTCATCAATACTAATATTAAAAAGTCAACCATACCAATGGTATGCCCTACGACGGCAGATTTTAAATTGGAAAAAAGATAAAAGCATGCAATTCATTTCTAATTACATCATTGCATTTTTTATAAGAGAAATGATAGGTATTTCGATTAAAATTGACGACTCATTATTCGAATATAATGTGATTGGATGACATTGAAACTCTTAAAACAAAATCCCGTAAATATCTATTTCTTTTCGACTCATTCCCAACCACGTTATATTCAGAGGATGAGTCACTTCTCTTTTTATAATTACAGTTTTTCTTTAAAAAATAAAAATTAAAATTAAATTAATCATATACATCCATTTGCGGCATTTGCCCCAAAAGATACACGAACCCTCAACATTTTCATTTGAAAATAATGAAGATATTATATTGTGAAGATATATTTTGTAATTCGTTAATTTCGTTGTTAAAATAAGTTCGATCGAGTTGTAATTCTGAGTTTAAATTTTAAGTTCGATATCAGTAGCGGAATCGAAGAGTTGTTCGTATTTGACAGTTTGAAGATTACGAAAAGGTAAGAACAACACCTTAAGAAATTGAGTTAAAAGATAGGGACACTTGCATACATTGCATGTTTTCAAAAGTGCATGTGTTGCCAACATTTTTCTAAGTATTTAAGCCTTCAGTTCAAGTCTGGCCAACTTGAGCCGGTTCAAGGCAATTGAACTGGTTCAAAATGTAAAGCTTCGTTTTTAAAAAATCCTACCGGCCAATTTGAAACCAGTTCAAGTTTGTCTTTTAGGTAACTAGTTTCCTACTCTGTTTTATCTTTCTATTTTGGATAGACTTTCTTCCAAAAACCCATGCACGAAATTAACTTATTTTCCAAGTATAACTAGGGTTTTAAAAGTTTATATAAACATATTTTCTCATCTAGGTTGGTATGACTTTTTAGATTAAAATTCTGAATTTTTATTAAAAGCCTTTTTGTGAGATTTTTAAGAACATACACACTATATACACACGAGTAAATTTAAGGTATTGTTCATATCCTGATCGTGTTCAAGTTTATTGAGGATTGCATCTACAACGATCAAAGAAAGCAAATCTTATTTCTTCTTCATTTATCAAATTCAGATTCAAACAAGAAAATTTTCATATCACACTTTGAAGGGATCACAGGTGCTGAGTGTTGTTGATCTACCAGCAATTCTTCTATAAGGTTCGAGGCATATATAAGTCTGAAATCGAGAACTGTTGGACGGGAAGTTGCAAAGTCAGGGATGTTCAGTAGATTGAGTTTTGGTAGAGGAAAGGGATTTGAGTCTGAGTCAAAGTTCGTACTTTGCTTCATACATAGTGAATCTTTTTATATTTGGGATAGCGCACAAAATCTCGAGATTTTTGAATTGGTTTTTTCGTTAAAATCTGGTGTCACTCTAAACTTTACTTGCTTTTAATTTGCGTGAGATTGTTTAATTAACCGTAATTTTAGTAGAATAAATTGAATAGAGAAACTCGTGATTAAATTCTCTCTCAAAACTGTTATAAAAACTTAATTTTTTTTATAATCTATTCCACTGCACAACTCACATATACTAGTTAGACTAAACCCTTGATGGTACGAGTTTAATTTGTTTAATTAATGATCTCAGTCTTTGATTTTCAGTCGGAATGCTGAAAAAAAAACTTCATTTTGAAATGCAGAGTTTGATTTCGAGTTTAACATTTGAAAATTTCACAAATTGTCTGCAAAATTTCCAAATTATCATTATTTTTCCTCCATGTTTTTCACAATCAAACGTCTTCTCTATTAGTCTTGTAATAGAAAATGTCGCTATTAGCCAATGTGTAGGAGATCGAATTCAGACCTTACCAAAAATCAAATAATTAAAATACAATTAGTATATATGTTTTTATATGATGGATATTACAACTGTCATGCCATCCAAACCATATAGTAATCTGTCACCAAGTTCTAGCAAAAATGATTTGTAATATAAATGGGATTATAGTAATCATTAATGAGCAAAAAACCAATACATCTGCCAATAAATTCTTGTGAATACATTATACTCCAAACAAATGAAGACTTCACTGCTTTCACCAAGTAGATGACGAGCTTTCCCGCCAGTTCTGAAGCTGCTCTTTCACTCACATTCTCTGCAACCAAAACTTCCAAACCCTATTCTACTTCAAATCAAGAGCAACATCCATGACAGCAGAACTCCTAAATCAATTCCAGCAAAATATAAACACAATTAATAAACACGCGTTGTGCACTAATTAATGCCGCATATAACTTTGCCATTACAATAAAGACCATTACTCAGTTCTGATCCTGTCTACACATAATTTTATAAAAGAAATGTTAAGTGCAATCACGACTGTGCAGGCATAGCCCTTAGGATCCCGGGCTCATCTATACCCACAAGATTGAAGGATTGCGGCTGTACAGTCACAATTGTGTTTAACAAAGCTCGTATTATAAAGCAGATGGCAGTTAAATACTTTTTAGCATCTCCAGATAAAAATGTACTTTGCTGTGAACCGTTATTTATTCAAACTTAGGGCATCTTGTGTTCATACTCAACACTATCTATCCACTTTATTTTACCAACCATATACCTTTGGTGTGATCTTGCTATCTATTTTATTATTTTATTAATTTTTAATTTTTAATTTATTTATTAAAAAAAATAACATAAAAAATATTTTATTATTTTATAATTCGATTATATTTGTTGAAAAAAATTTAAATATATATTTAGAGAAATATTCATTAAATATATAAAGAAAAATACATATATATATATATATTTTTTGGGCATGTGAGAGGAAATTAAGAGTGAGGGATCCACTCTATTTGGTTCCAGTGAAGACTGCAATACATAATGGGGCATGGGCCCGCTCTTTCTCACTTTACACCCCCATATTATCTATGCTTCCTCTTGCACTCTGATACTGTGAGAACTCATTTGAGAACTTTACTTGTTTAAAAAAATGGTTAAGTGAGAACACAATGATATATTTGGACAAAAAAGTGTAAAGTAGTGATGGAAAAGCATGACCCTGCTACCAAATATCTCATTGCAAAAGAAGACTTTTGTTGAAAGCTGACAAGCAGAAAGTGAAGAAAAACCAAATGTAGTGCCTTTTATTTACCTCCAACGCTAATCTTGGTTTGAATTTTGGGTCTCCATGTCCCACTCCAAGCATATCCTAATCATATCAAAACCAAATATCAGCAATACTAATTGAAAAAAAAAAAAAAAAAAATGGCCTGGAGTAACACAAGGACTAAACATAAAAATGATATCTGAGATAATGAGTTAGATCTAAAACACCGGATTTACCTATCTTTAGAATCGTACTGAAAGTGTTTTAGGTCTAACTTATATATTAGAATAACAAAAGTGTTTTAGGTCTAATTTATGTACTAGGGTAAAAGGAAACTAACCTCGTCCGAAGCAATTGCTAGTGGTGTTCACACCATTGCGACAAACGCAAGCAAAGGACTGATGCAAACCAGCAAAGCCACACAAACCTCCACTGTCTTCACAGTTCTTGCAAGTCTCAGTGTAATAAGAATCATTATATTGCAAAGAAATCCCAAATTGCCATTTCATAGGGTCACCCTCATCTCCCCCAAATCCATATATCGACGTATAAGACGAGCATTGAAGCTTAGGAAGATCCAAACTATACCCCGAACCTAGCACATTCGGAGAATCATAAACACAGCAAGTAGAAATCGGTGCATTCGGATCCAATCCAATCCCTGTAACACCTTTGCAAGAGTACAACCCTCTGCAGACATGTAAACCCGACCCGGAATCGCATAAATCTTCATCCTGATCAAACACTGGAGATGTGGTGGAGCACCCGAGCAAAACAAAGATGTTTTCTGCCACTAGACTGAATGGGCTAGCGCGATCCAAGCTAAAGCTTCCGGAGTTCTGCATTGAAGAACACGTCGACATGAATGGATCAGTGACGATCAAGGTGCTGGTCGCGTAGTCGATGGAGGAGACGGTGTAAACGGCGGTAACTGTGGTGAATTGGAGCGTTCCGGAGCTGCATTTTATGTATCTAGCAAAATCAGGATGGCCGCAACCGAATCCGGTACCAAATGGAAACTTCACGGGGATGGTGCCACATCTCTCAGTGCATGTGTGGTTGATTGGGAGTGGGAGTGCGTGATTAATTGCTGAGAAGGGATGAATAACAAAAGCAAAATGTGGAGGGAACAAAAGCAAAATGTGGATGAGCATCCATGAAGTTGTTGTGGTAGGTGACATTTGTGTAGGTTTTTGGAAGAGATGGAGAAAGAGAGACATGAAACACGAAGTAATAAAACCTATACCAGTGTGTGTTTCATCTGAGCATTAATTGATAGGATTTGAAAAAGCAGGAGGCACTGTTTGTTTTTTCGGTGGAGGTGATTATTTTAAAAATTCCTAAAAAGCAGAGCCTATCTATTAACACGGGCTCTAGCTAAAAAGCGTTATGGGATTTTTCAAAGGTTCAAGAAAGAGGAGGAAAAAATTTATAATAGAGTACTACTGTTTAGCCCAACTTTAAAAAACTGAATTATAATCGACTCCATACTTAAATTACCATATATGCAAATATCATTGTTCTCAAGTTTTATTTTCTCCATCGGCAAATCTTGTGAAGGTGTGGATTGAAGGTTTAAAAAACTACTTTGGTTACAAAACACGGTGGTCTTTTCATTAATTCAACCACCGGTGATCCAGCTAGATTTGCCCAAGAACTTCTAACAATACTCAAATTCGTCTTCTGTTTGTACGATCTCAAACACACCAAGGTTGTTAAAATCGGGATTCTACGCAGAATCGTTTTGGACTCTGTAGAATCGGATCGTGAATCGTAAGATTCTACCAAATTATGAAAAAACAATTAAAACTAACTTATTAAATAAGATCCGTAAAATATAACAAAAATGAGACCAAAACACACAATATTACATATCCATGAGTTCACAAATCTCAAATCCTAACAATATTTCAAAGTCCGAATACAAATAAAAGAGAATGTAGCTCAAAATAACATGAGTTTACAAGTCTCAAATCTTAACTCATCCATCTCCAAAGTTAGAAACTAAAATTACATATCAAAATGATTTTTTTTTTTTTTAACTCTATGCAATTTCCTTTCTTTTTTTTTCTTTTTTTTTTCTTTTCGAAAAGTGAAGAAATAAAAAGACCTTTTTATCCACCAATCCAAGTGTTACGGTGTATGTGACCTTATTAGTCACAAGTATGAAATTAATCAAGAGTTAGCACAACAAAATTAATGAACCACGTGTTAACTCGATCTCATTATATTATCAGTTTAGACTACAAGATTATACTTTGGCTGGCATATCTAGCAAGTTTTTTAAACTTTTAAATTATTTTTAATTTTTAATATATATGATAAGCCTTCAAAAAAAATAAAATTTAGTCAAATGAAAATATTGATCATGAAACCAAAATTTGCCTAAACCTGTTAGTCACGAGTACGCATCCTTGAAATATAATTGATCATTTTAATTTTTTATAATTAAACACAAAAATATATTACAGAACATCGACATGCATGGTAAAAATAATTGATATATATACATATATATATTTCTTTTTCTGCCACTAATGAAAAATAATTTATATTTTATAGAATAAATATTTAACTTTATATACTATACTTGGGCCAGGCCTCTTTTATTTTGTAGCCCATAAGAAACCAACAAAAAAAAAAAAAAAAAAAAAAGGCTCAAAAATAAAGGCCCAAACAACTAATTTTGTAGAATCGGTAGAATCGTGTAGAATCGTACGATTCTACCCTCGATTCTACCGATTTTACACCCGATTCTATTAATTGAGCGATTCTGTTACGATTTGACTCGATTTTGAGTTCTGAGTCGTAAAATCGTGCGATTGTACGACTCAGAATCGCGATTTTGATAACCATGAAACACACACGTTCAATTTTCATCAAATTCATCTTCTGTTCGTGCCATCCCAAACACACATTCAATTTTCATCTTTTATCCATAGAATACCAAATACACACAGATTCATTTATCATAGAATCTCAAATAGACACTCACTCTTCCCAAAACAGCAAGGCAGTACTCACTCATAACCACATAACAGGGACAAGAACATTCTTGTTTAAAAGGCCCCTTTTTTTTTTCTTTTTTTTTTGCCCTTTTTTACTTTGTGGGTTGAAAAACGTTATGATGTAATTATGGAGTCCCAATCACCATGCTAACACCTCCCCTAGATGCAAATTTGTCATTCCGTAAAATAGGTCTATCTCTATATCCATGGTGAAATACGTGTCGCCGGTGGTAGAGTAATAACGCTATAGTGATTTTTAAAAAATGTGGGCCACCAGAGATGGAGGAATTGTGAAACTCTATTTTTTTTCTTTATATATTAATATTAAATAAACGTGGTTAGGTGACCAATAGCGTTCAGCCATATATTGAGTCGGTTTTTTATCGGTACAAAGAAGTCGTCAAAAATATCATTTTCCTTTATAATATGCATATAAAAATGTCAATATAGTTGTAGTGCAGTAAACAAAATCCAAAAAATGTGGTGCACACTTCATAATTGTTTCTTTATACATGTTCTCCGGTTATTCTCTCTATTTTTTTTTTTTTTTTTTTTTTGTCTTTTTGGTCTGTCCCTTTAGAGACTCGAACTCTCATCATATATTTTGGAAGGTAAAGGAGATACACATTTTTTAAAGATATTTCAATGTGATATTTGGTTAAACTTGACAAGTGTCAGTGAAATTAACCCTAAATAGAAATAATCATTTTTGTTGTAGGAGTGTTTTTGGTTAATTTTATAAACTTATTTGATAACGTTCATTTTTTATACAAAATTTTTAATTAAAAATAAAAAACATGTTTTCAAAATTTTGAAAGTAAAACATAGAAAACATGGCGTGGTCAAGTGTTATCAAAAGGTATTTTGAAAAAAATAATGACAAAAATATCTTGAATTCTATTATGTCTAGTTTAATTGAGCTGGATTGAGCTAATATGCATGCCTTATCTGATCATTCTTTATTTTTTTTCGTTATGTTTTTGGCTGATTTATGATCTGTTTGGTACATTTTGTTTTTAACTTTTGTTAAAACTTGAAATAAAATTAGTGTTTTATTGTAGAGTGTTTTAAATAGTAATCGGAACTGTGTTTGGTAACGTTGTTGTAAGATTTTTGGAAGCAAAAATATCAAAACATACTTAGTAAAAAAGTATTGCAAGTTTGAAAAATATAATGGTTAATTTAAAAATGTCATTTAAGAGTTTTTCAAGTGTATATATATATATATATTATTGTCCATCGCTATAATACCAAACGCTGAAGTGCGAAAACATATAAAAACACCAAATTGGTGTTTCGATTTTTGGCCACTATTCATGAAACATTTTGATATTATGCAAAACAAAACAATTTTTATCAAACTTTTTTTTTTTCACTGTTCACTACTTCATTACCTGACAAAAATAAAAACACTAAAAATAAAATGCGTACCAAACAAATCTTTATATAAGTGAATTAGGAACTTCCGAAACTCGTTGCAATATACGAGTGATCCATTGTTACTGTTCTCATGCGATTATACAAATCATTAAACTAATATATTTTTTAAATAAAATAAATCACATGTAATAAATAATTCCAATGGGTGCTCTATCACTTGTGTTTCAATCGATTCGAGCTCGAGTTTTTTGTGATTAAGACTGAATTTCTATGTTCAAGTCAACCGTAATTTTTTTGAGTTTGTTTAGCTAATTTTGAGTTTTTTTTAAAAAAAAAGTATATACTAAAATAAGAAATTCAAATTGTCCTAAAGAATTAGCCATATCTATTAGTCATAATTTAACTCTAGTTAATGAGGAAACGCTAAGTTAAAATGGTTGAAGATAATGTTATTTTCAGTATGAAATACAAAAAATTGGGTCAAGTGCAAAAAACACCCCTCAAGTATGCTTATAATGCATATCACACTCCTCCCGTGCAAAAAACACCCATCAAGTTTCAATTTGGTGCAATTAAGTCTCTCTGACATATTTAAAACTAAACTTGACTAAAGTACTCTTACTCAACAATTTTATAAAATATATAAAAATATAAAATTTTGTAAAAAAACCAAAAAGGACAATTGCACACCCATTTTGCAATTCTGTCTTGGTTTATAGCAGACGATGATGAAGAAAAACGGTGGCGAAGGCGACCGTGAACTCAGGGAGGCGGGGGCGGAGGACGAGTCAGACGATGAAGAAGATGACTCCAATTATGAGGACGACGGTGAGAACGGTGGCAATGAGATGGCAGAGGAAAGAGTAGCGACCATGGATATGAAATTGGTGGTGGTAAGTGGCAGTATAGAAGGCAAAGAGCGGTGGTGCCACTGCGTGGGGGTATCCGAAGGTGAAGCCCGTGAAGGTGGTGCCGAAATTACCCTATTCGTCCCCACCGACGAAGCGTTCTCGGATCTTCCAACGACTGCAAAGCCGTTATTGGGGATTGAGGCGATAGACGGGATGACGGTGAGATGGAACTGACAAGTAGGGATGGCTGAATGACCGTAATGAATTGGCTATGACCTTACAGCCCGGCATCGGCGGGAATGAGAAAACGGGCTCGGCTGTGGTGAGGGACGGCCGGTGAGGTGAAGCTCGGCTATGATGGATGGCAGTGATGGAGACGGCGGCGAGCAAAAAAGATCTCGGCGATATGGCACAGCCGTGATGGAGGCAGCGGTGAGCAAAAGATAGAGAACAGCAAGGAGAGCTCGGCCGGTGGAGGGCTGGATTGAATCGGCAGTAGGCGAGCAACGGGCTGTGACGGTAAACTCGTGGCGGTGAACTGCGGTCGGCTGTGAAGAGGACCTGGGCATGATGATAGCAGCGTGCACGATACTGTACCATGGCCATTCAAGCCGTCACTCACTGGCTATCCCTTACTACAGTCGAGCCCATCTTTTCCTTGCCCGTCGATGCCGCGCCGACTCAACACAGCCGAGTCCTCCGTTCTAATATGTTAACACAACACCTTTTGGTTCCAAGTAAGACCCCCTCAATGCACTTTTACGCTAGCTAGGTAAGTCAAATCTTCATTATAAAAGTGAACCTTGCTCTTATAAGCTAATATTCATTCATTGGTTCTTCTTTGGTGTACGTGGGCCTGAGCACTCTGTCTTTACTCAAACAGAGCTACTGAGCCCCTCTTTTTTCGTTGAAGCCTTCAGACCAGTCAAGCATGTAGGCAATGGTGCATCAAAACCCATTATGGTCGCCAACGGTGGTGCGACACTCCATGGCAATGCTTCAATCTTAGGAACTTCTTTGCCCGGTGGTGGTTGTTTTGGGGGTGGAGAGTAAGTAGGGGCAATTTTGGAAGACTAAAAGGGTAAAATGGGC